GACCACACCTACTTGTGGTAGGAATATATATGAAAATTAACAAAGCGTTAAGGGGTGAGACAGTAGACATAGGTCAAATTAAAAGGCTATTTTGAAGGTCAAAATAACAATGGTGGTCAGTAAACTAAGTAAGGAGGCAGAATAGTACAGATATATATGGTAGATATTTATGTTTCGCTCATCGATAGTTTATCTGAAGATATAACTGAAAATATTTGGATTGTTTGAACAAAGAGAGAACGAACAAACTGATCAAGGGGACCTGTTGTATTTAATGTTTTGTGTAAATACATATTGTACAATTTGGACAAATTACACCTTATGGTTTTGTGGATATTCAGAAACGCGCGGGGATCATTTTACATAGTTTATAATGGTTCACTCTGACTCAGCGTTCAAATGAATCCAGGAATCTCGTAACATCTATGGTTTAGATATTTATGAAGGAACTAACCGTTTGAAATAGTAAATTTCTGAGTTATACCGCCTGTTGCACTTGAAGATCTTCAGCACTTAGAAGAGAAGAAATCAAACTAAACCAATTAATCAATGACTCTTATTCGTTCCTTGCCTCATCCCCCTATTTGAATCACCTCAGTTGACACTGATTAAAAAACAAATCAGATATTTAGTACTTCTCTGGGACTAGATCCATTAAAAGCGTTTAAACTTTGAACTTCAATAACATACAAAGTAAAACCTATGACAATAAAAACACTCAAGAAACAGTATGAACAGATAAGTTTAGCGACATGACTATGGACGGTAAGCTGTGTTCGAAATATTCCACTGCAATACACTCTAAAAAGGATATTTAGCGTGGTATTATATTCTACCATACTGTTCAAATTCCGCTTTTAATTTATTTCTAAGTGACCAGATTGAGATGGACAAGTAATTAGTAATTCAAAATCTCGTGTTGATAATATCTAACTGGTTACTTTAGAGGAAATGGCTTTACAGAACAAAGGTTGTTAAACAATGAGTAGAATTATGTATAGACTAAAGGTTGGCTGATATACAGAACACCGAAAGCTGTCGAAATGGAGATGAAAGTAGAAAATTCATCATGATAAATTACTTTTGCGTCTGTTTGATGTATAATAAAATAGGTACAACAAATTGCTACATAGCTTTTGCATATAGACGCGTATGTGTTTATCTTCATCCGTAAATAAATCAAGGTTGTCTGACTGTTATTTTTAGGTGTAACTGTAGACTCACATTTTTTGTTGAGATGATCTCAGACTAGACTCATGAAAACAATAATATTTACTCTCATGCTTTACAGCCAAATTACATAGTAGCGTCAATTTATGTGTGGGATGGCGATAGGAAGAGCATGACAGGGCAATAAAGAGAGGATATTTACTCAGTAATTACCTATTTTTGAGACAAAATAATAACTGTCCCCTTTGCGTTGAAGTTGGTCATGATAAGGATGAAACTGTACTGCCTTAGATAGTCTGCGAAGTGACTAAATTATTCTAACCGAGATCTTATTGAGAGTCTTATGGTTAAGATGGCCGTTACCGAGATATGTAATAATATACGCAAACCACGAACTCGAAAAACAACTGTTCCTTCCACAATGACTTCTTCAGTCCTTATTTACTATCAAAAATAACCGAACCTGGTTAAATCTATGACTGTGGTTTTTATGACAAAAATACGTCACATATATGTAGTTTTCATATAAGATCTGCAGTGAAAGAATATAAATTCTTTTGACTGTCCAAATGAAACATGAAATTTTTCAGTAAGGTGTCTTTGATCTCAAGGTGTAATGTTTCAAAATTCTAAGCTCGAAAGCGTCTACAATAGATACCAATGTGCTAAAATGCCTGTCTTTTATAATGCTTCTGTATCACATTAGGTAAACAAACTGTGCATCTGATGGAGTCAAGATGTATGGAATAAGCATACACATGAACAACTGACTACCTTGTCATTCAGTCTCATAGGAATTATGGGTAAAAATACCTGGGGAAAATGTGCTGATTACACACGCTTTCGAAGCTGTATTACGGAATGATTTCAATTGTTATACAATTATTTACAAAAGACGTTCCAGCATAGTTCATTGCTCATAATCATACTAAGGCACTCACATTACTTCTGAATTTTATGTATATTATTCCATCATTTCTTATCCTTAACTTTATGGGTAATGACATTTTTCATATCGCCGGTACTGTGCTGCATTATTCCCATTTAAGGTGTTTGGTTCAGGTTTGATATCAGGGATATGGAAAATATTGTAACCCATAAGGTGAAAGCATAAGAAATAATGAAACTATGTAAATGAAATGCGGAAGTCATATGAGCATCTGGATATGACTATGAGCAATAAATTGTGTTCAAAGCGTCGCTAGTAAATAATACTGCATTACTGTGTGTTTCATCAAATAAAATTATTCTGTGATGGGATCATTCTCTATCACAGTGATCAAATTTTATTCTTAATTTTCAAGCTGCACTAATCTTTTATTCAGAATCATACAGGAAGCTGTACTCAGTGACATTTCGACCATTTTCATGATACAAAGTAACGGTATACGAGCTCACCTTGTAACCAGAACGTCCTGGGTTCGAATCCCAGTGGGTGCGTACTGCCGATGATTCCCAAACTAGGATGAAACAGCAGCTGTCCAGTACTCCCTGGTTTTCAATGGTTCTCTAACTAATATCAGTCCGTGATCAACTCGTAAGAGGTTTATATATAAAAAGAATATCACTTGTTTTTAAAAACTTTGTCCAATCATGAGTCATGAAACAAGTATAATAAACAAAATTTGACCTCGGACTTACAAATATTGGTCTACCTTTGTTAAACACTTTAAACAGAGTGTGTATGTGTGTGTGTGGGTAAACAGTTGTAAAACATTTCTTAACGTCTCCTTAAGAAGATACGGACAGTCGTGAATTTTTAACCAAGTATTATTAATTAGTTCATATGAACTGTGATCAAGATTTGACCGGATAGTTGATAGTGATACATATCCATTTTTTATTTATTAATAAGGGTTTCCTATGCATCAGCTAACATCACGTCTTCATGTCTGTTCAAGCTGTTAGTATCTAGAATTTTATGATCAGACGTATTTTCAAAATTATGGTGTTTAGGATTAGAGTTTAGCTGAAGCACCCTGTCGGATTTATTGCTTTGTCTTCTTTCTGAAGATTGAGCTGCTTTATTCGACCTACTGGAGTTGTCAGGTGTCTCGACAGCTACGGATTAAGGATATGCATTCTGCTGCAGACAACGGAGAGTGAAAACACGATGATTGTGCCAGTTACACAGTTTCTTTGTTAATTTAATTCATTTGCAAAATAATTCAAATGAACTGTCGTCAAGATTTGACAGAATAGTTCTAAAATATTTGAACCAGATTGCCGAACGAAACGTTGGAATTACTCATTTCAATCTCGCTGAGATTTTACAAATATAATTTTTCACAAATGTCTACTTCTCACTCGGCGCCCAAATATTTTACAACTATTCTGTCAAATCTTAACGACAGTTCATTTGAATAATAAATAAGTAAATTGAATATTCCCATAATTTATTCAGAACAAAATATTGAGAGTGAACAATTGTTTTCAATAAATTCTTCTTCAGGCTCTACAATTATAAATCCATTAATTTAAGCATACAATAGCCAGTAAAGGCAAATTAGAATCATATCAGAAAGTGTATTGTGGAACAAGTATAAGATGGGATGGAACAATAGTCAGATAGTTTTTTTAATATGCATGGTCAATGAGAACATGGGACAAAATGAGATGAAGTAATTTAATTTTATGATGTGTGTATATATATAAATATAGTCAACAGAAATACAGGTTTCGAGAGTGTGTGTAATCAGGGTGTGTGAGACAATATGAAAATAAACCAACGAATGGGGCGGACTAGACATAAGTTCAAGGTTGAAAATAACGACAGTAAGAATGATTGTAAAATAATAACGATGATATGGTGTAAAATTACAAGCACTATTGGTGAATGATTGTCAAATAATAATAATGAATATAATGAAGTGGAATGAACAGGATTTTGTAAATACGATAGCAAGTTAGAAAAGCACTACTTAAACCTAAGGTAATAAAATCATAAGAAAGGTCATGAAATCATAAAAGTCGAAAATGAACGATTGTCAATGAAACAGAGGAATAGAAGAAGAAGAAAAGAAAATTGTGAAAGGAATTTATAGTGTTAATGGAGGATTTGTTGGCTTTATTGTAGGCCAAGGTAAACATAGTGGTTGAACATACTTCTTCTGTATGCAAAGAGATGGTCTTCTGGTATTAATTGCCACCGCTTCAGCTACTGATAGAAGACGCAGTCGAGCTCCTCTAGATAAATTACTAGGAACGCGGTAAATAACTGAGAACGCCTGGTCAAGTTTTATCTGGTGTCCAGTATCTACCAAGTGGGCTAAGACTGCACTATTTACACATTTGGTTACTCCTTTACTCAACCATACAGGTACATGTTCACGCGCGCGCATGGATAAAGCCCTCTGAGTACGGCCAATGTAACTAGCTCCACATGAGCAGTTGAATTCATAGATGCACATTGATGAGGCCATCTTTGGTAATTTATCCTTTACTTGCTGTGTGAGTACTGGTTTAGTTGAGAAGTTGAGTACCAGTTTAGCTGCAGGAAATGTTCTATCTACTGCTCTATTAAGTCGACATTTTAGAATGTCAGCTGCAATTTCCCCTTTGTAACTTAACTTAAGATACAAAGGTTTCTTTTCTACGGTATCCACCTTTACCTTGTCTGTAGGTATTGACATATACTTTTTTAGGAAGCTCTGTGGATATCCATTTTCTTGCAGTGTGAGTTTCAGTTTATGCATTTCTTCCTTAATGCATTCCTCTGAACATATACGTTTTATTCTATAGCTTATACATAGTTTCTTTTGTACTGAATCGGTGCGAAGCTATGGAAATGGGTGTACTGACCCGTCCAAGTTTTCTTTCTAAATAGTTTCCTTTGTAGATATCCGTCTGTCTTCATGGTAAGGAGGACGTCTAGGAAAGGTAAACTGTTATTCTCTTCTTCTTCACATGTAAACTGAATAGTTGGGTGAACACTATTAACAGCATTTAGAAGCTCTTGTTTATTAAGATTTATATCACAAACGATAAAGGTATCATCTACGTATCGACAATAATAGTCAAACCCTTTAATCGTGTCTTTAAGTGGACCGTTTTCAAGCTTTGCCAGGAAAATATCCACTAGCATAGGGCCCAGAGGTGATCCCATGGCTACACCATCAACTTGTCTATAAAAACCATTATTGAACATAAAGTGAACATTCGTAGTGCATTTCAATAATAATTCTTTGACTTTTTCGGATGGGATTCCTACATCTATCTTTCTTTCTATCAGCTGGTCACATATGTAGTTGACTGTTTCAAGCAGTGGGACGTTGGTGAATAATGATGCTACATCCAGTGACATCATTTTCTTTCCCTTTACATTCAGGCTTTTGGTGGTTTCCAAAAAGCTAAATACTTCTTTTACACTGAATTTGACTAATTCGCGATGTAACGGCTCTAGTGCCTTTACCAACAACTTTGCTGTAGAATGATAAGGCGATTGACACATATCTAAGATGGGACGTAGTGGTACTCCCGGTTTGTGAACTTTCGGTAAACCATAAAGTCTTGGTGTGTGCGTACCTGAGGGTTTCAATTCGTTGAGTGTATCCTTAGGAATCAGATTACTCTCAACTAATGATTTTAGTGTCTGGCTATTGTATGCTTAAATTAACGAATTTATAATTGTACAGCCTGAAGAAGAATTTATTGAAAACAATCGTTCACTCTAAATATTTTGTTCTAATAAATAAGTGTTGTGTGAATTTATAGAAGAAGGCTGATCACTAAGTAGTGCATGTTTTTTAAAAGATTGTAGACGTGTACATCTTGGTTTATGATGTTTCCTGCAGTGAGTAGACATACAGTGATAACAGTTTTAATTCTGTAGATTAGTACACTTTCATCCATATGAGCTTACAGAAGATTGAATCGTCTTCTAGATACTACTTATGATACAGATCGATAATAAAGTCAACAAACGATGAGCTTGAAAGAATAGATTATACCGCCTAAATGTTCAAATTATTTAAAATCAGCTGAGATTTGTTTACATATTAATTACGTATACAGAACCTTTAATATTCTAAAAATTTCTTTAATACAGATATCTGTGTAGTGGTAATCAGTAAGGGAGTTCAGACTGAATGCGTTTAATTTTATTCGAGACATGTCAACTACATAACTAACATCTCACTGAATGCTAGTTTTCCCAGTGAAAGCTGAAACCTACACTCCTCGCTTTAAACCGCATAGTTTATTTGACTAAACAACCTAGTTATTACAAACGACCATTAGTTGTCAATTCGGATTCTTATTTTGAACATCTGAGACAAGCAAAAATGCTGAGAGTAATTTGAGAACAGATCAGTGTGAAAATTCAGGGGAAATGCATCATATTTTTTTCCATGCCCCAAATTACTTCCAAATATCATCAAATTCATTGCGGTGTACTTATATGGAGATGGTGAATTGCAAACAATACAAATCAATTGTTATGAATTCCATTACTAGTCTTCTGCAACCATATAAAGGTGATTTTGATAAACTTGTACTTTAATTAACAAATGATTATAAATATAACTTACTCTACTTTTATGTGAAAAAGATGTACTTGGTAAATCTGATAATATAAGAACAAACAGTTCAGCGAAGAGTCTTTTTTCGGCGAATTCACTGACTTAGCTGTACAATCGCAATTATATATATAACTATTTGTGTGCGAGTGTGTACATTAGGATTGTCAGATACGAATAAAAATTAGCTTACCTCATCAAATGTTTCAAAAATTGTGTTGAATAATCAGATTGTAACTACAACGGGTGAATAGTAGCAGGTATTGACTAGGGCTATGTAATATGAAAGACCCTCCGAAACATATGATGTCAATGAAAGAGCATGGAGACAAGTGTCCAAAATAAACTATGTAATAGACAGAAAGAGTAAATAAAGGGTTAGTTAAGAAAAAGATGCTACTAAAATGTCATATAAAAATTCAAAAATAGCATCAATAACAAAGTAGTCGAACATAGAATTATACCCAAGGTAGAAGGAAGGGATGGTAAAGTTTATTCTGTGTATATAAATCAGGGTTTTCCAGCCGGATCGGTAATGTCAAAAATATACAGAAGCTCACCACTCTCGGGAGGCTTCTTTTGACTTTGAATGAATTCTCCCTACATATTGAGTGACCAGTGTTGAATATATGTTCAATTATTGCACTCCTTATTGATCCAATGTTACCTTTTAGTAGCCAAGCCGGATAATATATATATATATATACCATTTATGAGGCAAGAAACCTCTTGCTTCATTATATTACAGTCGAGGGATCAGTAAGAATACGTGGATTGGTCTCTACCTAAATTTCAACAGTTCCTACCTAGTCAGCTATAAAAGAACGCTGGTGAAGACCCTGTTCAGTAGAAAAAAAAACGAAAATGTTCAGTAGATAAATTAGAAAGTGAGCTCATGTCACTTGAGAAATGCGTGAAAGAAAATGGCTACCCACACAGTTTCATCGACAAGTACGGCAAAGAAGAATATAAAGATCCAGATATAATTACAGTCAACAAGAAACTGATATTCATTCTACTCGAATTTAAGGATGATGATATTATGAGAATGATAAATAAATGTTTAAGTGCAGCACTAGACGTATACGGTAGAAAAACTAACTTCCTTACTCCAAGCATCCTACCCGTCGGCACAGTCGAAAATCGAAAAGCACCCTTCATGTGGTACCTCCAGCTGCGTGTATCAATTCATCAGGTGTAAATGCTGCAGCAGTTACATGTAGAGAACCAAAAGAAGGGAGTATTTCAGATTCTCTGAACATGGATTGAAGATTAAAGGGACTAAATGATCGGAGCTTTTTAATTACCAAACACGTGACAGACACAAGATGCCGAGTGGACGTATTGGGAACATACAAAATAATTAACAAACAAAACAATCCGAGTCTTCTTCAGTTTACTGAAGCTATAGCCATAAAGCGACTAGAACTTGACAAAAGTGTTTAAAAGGAGTCTATCTTGGGATTTCAAAAGCCCTGATGACGCTCTGTTTTCTGATTGCATTGTTTCGTTTCAAAACTCCCACCCATTTTTTCGCTTGACTTTCATATTAGGCTTCACTTTTTGAGTTCTACTCACTGTATTATATCACCACCTTTACATTCGACATCGTGCACACTAAAATTTTGATTTTCCAATCTTATGAATCCTAATCACTATACGAAATTATCACTGATTTAACACCACCCTAACAGCGAAACTGTTCATATATATATATATATATAACTTTTGATAATCTTATCGTCCTCACGTTTCGTTCCACTATGACCTTCTTGCAACAATCCTTACTGGAAGGCTGATTCGTGATAATAAACAAATTTTATTATAACTGGTTTTACTACATATTATAAGTTGTACTCAGATGACGAGAGCCAACAAAATAATATGGATCCATAGTATTTTGCACCAATGTTTGTTTTATTATTATTATGCCCAGAATACAAAAGAATTCTCGTTAATAGTGAAAAATTGGCTTATCCAGCCTATACGATTACGATTCACCCAATAAACCTTATTTATTGCTTCATTTCGAATTAAAAAAAAAAAACAATAATCGTAACCTGATATCTTTGTGGTTTGATGACTCAGTATACCTTTTATCCTCTGTTGTGTTTATGTTTACCTAAGATATAAAAGGGATTAGGGTACAGAGAACATCCTAATGCTTTCTCTGGACCGAAAACAAAACCCTATTTTATTTGTCTAATTTATGTGTATGCATGCGATTTCACACATGAAAGAAAGTTTATTGGCAAGGTAGAAGAAAGATTTCTGAAATACGTTTATAAGGTGAATACACTCGCATACACCAAAGTGACATAGTTTTTGGAATAAGAAATGATCAATAAGTGTTGTGAACTAGCAATAATCCAGAGATGCGCTAATCATTAATTAATCAATAGACAGTGTAGTACTGATCAATGTAGTTATTATTCATAAGAATAGTCGAATTTAATCGTATTTTTCTCATTATCACTATTAATGTTAATCTTAACATAGGTATTCCAATGAAGTAATCATCCTTCAAATGTCACTCGATTGGCGTCGTGTACCTGTGGTAGTCGAAAAGATGACAAACAATTTATGTGCTAAGAACTGACAACGGTACTCATCCATTGGCGGTAAGTAAGAGTCCCTTCTTCATCAGAGTGATAAATATTTGTTCAGTGTCATTTATTTATCCAACTAGCTTTGTGAACATGGTGTCATTATTAAGAATTTTTGACACACTTTCTGCATAATCTGATTGGTTTAGTAAGTCAAATCTTATTCTTTTGTCTGAACGTGGAATGATCAAATTATTTTGTTGGTCAGCTCTTTCATTTCGATGACACGTCACTTGGTCAGAAGTCGATAAATGTTTGAATTTAGACAGCAGTCTAGGCTTCGTAGTCCTTTTTCACAGACAAGAACGTCAACTAACTCTTTTCTGTCAGACTTACTGCATCGAAGTCTACGATTTCTTTTCTGGAAGAATGAATTACAAATCAAAGATATCTGGAAAGCTGTTCGTAGAAGTCATATTTATCTACATCAGATTAGTATCTGTTATTTCTTCCGATGAAGATACACCCACAATTGAATGGAAAAAGTAGACTTAATATAACTATGAGTCATCTAACTGAGAAGTATGGGTAATAAGAAACTAATAAAGTTATACAAATACAATTGTTGTCAATATTTTCACATATCAGTGTACCATAATCATCGGATGTTATTAGATAATAAGGTCAATTCAAAACCTTCCATCGAAGGCCATGTGTAGAGGAAATCAGTTAATCATACTGAATTGTATGAATGACTCAGTACCGCGTATAGCAAATGAATGCGAAGACGAAGTAGTATTCTGTTCGGTTGGAAATCAGCATATGCAACACACGTACACATATTCATTACGTCTCAGTATGTGCACAAAAGGTTAAGCCGACAATTAATAAACAGTAATTCAAATAAAGACTGACGAAACTCTTTTTATAAGATTAGCAAATGAACTGACGAGTAGTTTCTATTTCTTTATGTTTTATTTGGTTAGTCTAAACTTTAATAGATGTCCTCCATTTTCACGCCAAACAATGTCCCCTTCTTTCTCAGAGCTAGAAATAATTTGAACCAGTTCATTTTCTGTTTGTCATAATTTCGTTGACAGGATAGCATACGTGGCATACACTCTATTTATTCTTAATGACTGCCAGATCAATAGTGACCTTCATTTCAAAATCACCTTGAAACTAATAGAAAACATTGCATATTATTAATCGAGAGTAGGTAGGTGGTTTTGTTATCTGGTTGACCATGACCTTCTTTTCTGCTGACTGTCCATATATATATATCATTGAAGACTGTGCGTTCATCTGACCCAGATTATCTATCTAGTTAGTAGATGTAAGGCTATTTCATACATTTTTTAAACACTAAGCAGAATGCTTGTTTATTGCAGATGACTGAAAAATACTATGTTATACATGATAGTTTCAATTTACACTAACTTGTCTGTTGATAATAAATAAGAAAATTATAGAGGGAAGAAAAACAGACACGTGGTTTCTCTGTGTACTTTTCCAGTTTTTTTAAAAAGGTGTTTATCATTATGTTTAAGCCAGTACTATGAAATCTATTGTATACACAGTACAGTACAAAAATACACTGTTAATTTTGTTATTCAAGTGTTAGTTTGCGAGGATTTGGTTAGTTACAGAATTTCATCATCAGCTGACACCGGTTAGAGAACTATAGGAAAACTACCACGGAGTACTGGACAGCCATCTCGTCCTAGTTTGAGACTTCATCAGTACACACCCACTGGGGTTCAAACCCATGATCTTCCGGTTACAAGGCGAGCTCTTAAATCATTACTCTACCACTGGGACACGATCCAATGGCCCATGAGTTCCAACTTCTTCCAATTAATGATATAGCGCGGCCACTAGCCAATGTCTTCGGTGAGTATTTGTCCTTACACCCGACCTGATGTAACCGGAAGGTCCTGGTTTCGAATCCTGGTGGTAGCACAATTCTGAGGAGCCCCAATCTAGGACGAAACAGTTGTCTAGTACTCTATGGTGATTTACCGTGAGATTATGATTTGTTTCGTGCGTTTTGAGTAGAACATAGCACTTCATAGGCCCATCTCCGTGAATTCACTCCTCTGCCATTGCTTCCAGCCAGCCCCATAGGCTTTCATTTCCTCCTCACATGATTTTATCCATGCTACCCTTGGACGGCCAACACGTCATTTCCCCTTCAGATTTCACTCGATGGGTTGGCATGTAATGTCACTTGAATATCTCCTCAGCATGTGTCAAATCCGTCTCTATTTCCTTTTACACATTCACAGGACTATGGCTTTTTGGTATACTATAATATCATCAAAAATAAATGAGTGTAATTCATGAAAGTGCCTGAGAAAACGCACAAAGAACCGATACGCAAACACAAAGTGCAATAATATAACCATAAATTTTTTAGCTTCCATAGATTGTCCTAGAAAAATTCATGGTTAATGCATCGTTATTTTCATATAACAATCATTTGTTTATTTCGATAATGAGTCAGCCGTGTATTGTGAAATATAAACTGATGTTGCTTAGTTACGAAACTATCATTGACTTTCGCTATACGCAATCATCTATTTTAGTGAGATTTCATTACATACAGAATAAAATAATTTTTTCCATAGTGAGACTCTCTGATGGTCTTGCATTGGTAGACAACTCCAATTAGTGAAATGGGTAGTGATTGAAGGCTGAATGAAAATCTGGGCAACCACAGGATTCGAACCAACAGTATACCAATTAAATTAGTTAAAGGCATACAGGTTTGACAAAAAAGTTTACCAAAAACTTGTAGTATTTGATGGCTACGCATTAATTTGAATAAACCAAGAACAACAGTGGTATGTGCAGAATAATATGGCTCAAACCATCATCTAATTCAAGGAAACTTCAACGTGAAGCTGAAATCACTCAAAATAACTGGAGACAGACCACTACAATTCATTTAGAAACTGAAGAACAAAACACAAGGGATGCCTTCACAACAGATCAGACAACTACGTGGCATCACTGAGGAAACATCCATAGAAGAACTTTGGAACTAACTCTGCAGGTGATGTTCAAGGAAAAGTGAACAACTGTTCTAGGAAGAAGGAAAAAATAAGACTTAAAATGACTTACAAGGGACCCCTACCTGGAAGCTTAATAGAAGAGAGGAGGATGGTGAAAGAGAAGATGAGTCAATGCAAAGGTGGGCAACAGAAAAAGAAGCTGAGTTCAATGTTCACTGCACTGAATCAGGAAAGACGTGAAGAAGAGTGCTAGGAAAGACAATTCTACGACACACTGGCTGGCAACTGAAGCAGAACACGCGGCAGACCTCAGGACAATATATCAGATAACCAGGTCCCTATCTCGGAAGAGATCAACCCAGATGGTGAAACCAATAAAAGATGTTCAAGGGAACCTGATTACCAAGGAGGAGGAACGAATAAAACAATGGTCTGATAAATTCAAAGGACTCTTCAATCGACCACCACCTGCAACTCACCCCAAAAACACCAACAACAACAGCACGCACAGAACTGCCTGCCAATGAACTTCAATGCTTCTACGAAAGCAGAAATTCTCAATGCAATCAAGCTACTGCAGGCCAGCTGGGAAGGCAGCAGGACCAAACGGAAACCTACTTCCCACAGCACTGAAAACGAACCAAGAGGCTGCAGCAGATGTGCTCACACCACTACTCCAAAAGCTTTCGAAACAAAGAAAGGTTGGTGACCTTGTCAAGCTGCCAGAGAAGGGAGACTTACGCCTCACTGCACAAGAACTGGCGTGCAATAATGCTCTCGTTCACGCCAAGTAAAACACTAAGTCGCATCATCCTGGAGACAACAAAAGATTCACCGGATACAGAACTCCACCCCACCAACCAGAACAAGCTCGATTCAGGAAAGAAAAATCATGTGCTGATCAAATTGCAACTCTACACATCATCATCGAAGAAAGCATGGAATGGCAGTCAAGCGTGTATCTTAACTTCATCGACTTCGAAAAGGCCCTCACCAGACAGCCTTGACCGAGAAGTAATTTGGAAACTTCTTCAACACTACGGAGTGCAGGTCCCCAAATCTTTATCAACCTCATTCAGAAGCTGGCTATATGACAATGCCTGACAGTGTCAGGTGATCCACTGCGGAAAACTCAGAGAAGCATTCGAAGTGAATACAGGAGAAAGACAAGTCAGACTGCCTGTTATCATCGATGATATTCCTAATTGTTGTGGACTGGATTATGCGTCAGACTATGTGGTGAGAGTGAGAAGACAGGAATACGCCGAACCACCGATGAGGAGAATCTAGAAATCTTGATTACGCAGATGATATATGTCCAATGTCACACAAACTCGAAGAATTACAGGCAAATACCAACGAACAGGCAGAAGAAGCAGTCGGCGAAGGCAGGACTGCATGTGAAGATGGAGAAGACGAAGGTGATGAGGATAACCAGCGAACATCAGCAACAACGACCAGCACCGATCACCATAAACGGGAGAGATTTGACAGAAGTTACTTCCTGCTTTCGCTTATCTAGGAAGCATCGTTTCAACTGCAGGCGGAACGGATGAAGATTTCAAGGCCGACCAGAATCGGAAAGGCAAGATACACCTTTATCAACCTGAAACCAGTTTGGAAATCTTCTGCACTCAGTCAGTGCAAAGACCAAGATTCGGATTTTCAACACAAGTGTCAATTCAGTTAGTGCTTCCATACGGGTCAGAAACTTGCACTGCGTGGCATGCAGAGGATTTCCAACACGCCACTGCAGACTTTATCAACATCTGCCTTCGCTGGTTGGCTCCATACTGAAGATCGAATGGCCAGTCAGAAGTAATTAGCAATAAGAAACTCTGGCTGGGAACAAACCAACAGGCGAGAGCCGATCGCTCAACAATATGTAGGAGAAAATGGAGGTGGATCCGGCCTACGTTGAGGAAGCCGTCAAATGACATCGCGCGCAATGCAGGCCATTTTTCGAGTAGCATCCGATTTGGAAGCGACGAGTGGGTAGTCAGTGCTAGGGTGACATGGAGGAGATAGTGTGAGAAAGAGATGAGAGAGTTCGGGCAACAGTAGACCCAGCTGAGGAGGGTGGCAGAAGATTGAACAAAGTGGAGATGTGTTGTTGAAACCCTGTGTTCCATTCGGAAACCAAGGGAATAATAATTATATAATTTATTTCGTTGGCTTCACGTCAGCTGCTTATATCCTAAATAAATTATTAAGTTTATGTGGAGAAAAGTTTTGACATACCTACAAATTTTACATGAAAGCAGTTTACAGCAGTTTCCAGAATTGGTGAACAATGCTCAGAAAATTAGGCTTATAAATTTTTTACACAGGCAGTTCAAGTTTAAACAAAGTGAATGTATGCATACAGCCGTAAAGAAGTTACGTAAAATAGACGAGAGATGCGTAAGATGATGAGTCAGTAATAAATCACTAATTCCGGAACCTCCCGTAAACTAACATCATGTAAAATTTGCAAGTATGCTTAAACTTTTCTGTACATGAACTTAAGAACAATTTATGTGGGCTGTAAGCAGCTGATGAGAAGCCATCGAAATAAATAATGGTACCATACTATTCTGCACAAACCACTGTTGTTCTTCCTCCATTCAAATTCATCAAGGGGCATAAGTGTATGAAGTACGCAAAAATCGGTAAAATCGGACCAAATGATATCGATAATTTTTTATCCTCCTTTTTTTGTACCGTTTAAACCATATCAATACGTGCAATGTATGCTCAGTACATAATAAGCGATCCCACAAAAATGTGGTTATAGTTATTATTGTCTTTTCAAACTCAAGTGGCGTCAGAGTGAGTGGATATTCATATAACCAGTGATTTGAATCTCACATGGATAATCTGACATTTCTATGCGTAACATATAAAGAAAACTTTATCCCCTAGAAATGTGTTGAGGATAGATACTTAGTGTACATAAAAATAGTCTACATACCCAAACCTGACAGAATAAACAGTTTGTATTGATTACATCACTTTGAACAAAATGATTAAATAGATCAAAAAATTATGAATACGTTCACAAGGAAATCAATACACTTACTTTTATATACATTTGGATTGGATTAACTTTAAAAACAAAACAAAATGTTAATTTCATTATATTGTATAACATACTGATCAGTCATTTTCTCAGGCTAGATGAGATTAGTTAAAGCACTTAACACTTTTTCATAAATAAAATGTGCACATGAATATGCTGAATACAGTGACAACAACTTTTTAGAGTAGTTAATCGATTTTTAGATGAATCAGTTGGGCTGGCAGTTGGATACACAACACAGTCACTTTCAAGCAAATGCTTGTGTAAGTCTGTCACTCTCTGTGGGTGTTATCTTCCTCCTTTACTGACTGACAGATCAACATAGAACTTTGTAGAGAAGTGCGCGACTTCTGTTTGTCATTATAACTGTTTAACGCACTGCTGTCAAACTTGTATGAAAGAAATATAAATTAATTATAATACAACCAGTTCCCCTAATTAGTCTAAACAAAGAACGAAAATATTTGCAGAATAATATGTCATTTTATTTCATGGATTCTTTTTGACTGCATTCATCCTAAGCAATATTAAAATATAAGTAATAACATTTCTGAAAATACTTTTCTCACAGTGACGTCAACTTATGAATTGAAAGCATAAGTAACATAATTCCGAAATGATGTAAGTAGACAGACTACTCAATGTTAAAAGGCTAACAAGCGGGGAAGGGGGCAGAGTTCACATTTTACTTAGAAAAGATGATCGACTAGGGATAGGATGCAAATCTGAACTCTGGTCCTCTGTTTGTTCAATTAGACTTTAATTAGTTAGCCTTTTAACATTTAGTAGTCTGTCTACTTACATCATTTCGGAATTATGTTGCTTATGCTTTCGATCTATAAGTTGACGTCACTGTGAGAAAAGTATTTTCAGAAATGTTATTACTTATATTTTAATATTGCTTAGGATAAATGCAGTTGAAAAGAATCCACGAAATGAAATAACATATTATTCTGCAAGTATTTTCGTTCAAAATAAATTAGTTGTGGAGAAATATATATGGGCCATTGTTATTATTACTGTAAGTTAAGATTTTCAAAGCACCTTGACCACATTTTACCTCATGTTGTCTCAAAAAGCTGAATTTAATGAATGAAACAAAGAACTAACGATCCAGTCAAATAGAAGCTAGTTAATCCTGCTAACATTTTATAACTTAACCCTTATACTTTTCCGGACTTACCTCACAATTCTGTCAATAACTCGTTGTCAACGCGACAAAGTATATTCAAAACTCTTTCTTGTAATTTATACATTCATATATACACCATATCAATTGATATTATTATGAGCAATAATTTATACTGCCAAGCTGTTATATTACATAGCTATAGAGGACTACGAAGCTGAATAATTTGCCCATTCAACCTGACTGGAATATACTACTTTTTAGTTCTGAGGTGAACATTTTCAAGTGGATCACTACAAAACATACTATCCTTGTCAATACTTCACGTTTACATTCATATTAGATAAGTTTATTTGTTATAAAATAGTTCTAATTATCTAGTTTATTTATTGTAACTGGTTTTCGATAAAAAATCTCAACCACATAAGTATTTTAAAATAATTGATTTATGTCAGTTGCAGCGATTTGATTGGACAAATTATGGACCCTAGTAACAGGAAGCCATCCAACCGAATTCCCCTTGATAAACTCGAACGAGGCGAAAACATACTGAGCAGGATGGAATGACACTATATTTTGGAGTAACATTGTAATTTCCTACCCTTAATTTTGTCTTGATCCATATTGTTGACAGGACTCTTTATTGACCTATGTCCAAATAAATTGCTTAGCTTTCACTTAGGTGTTACTGATTTACATTTTAATTCAACATTCATTCGAGGTTGCAGAACACTACTTGGTTATTTCTGTAAATACTGACAATCTAAACAACATTTATTCCTTCCACTGTGATATTTAATCAGGTGGTAATAATATCGTTCATCTTTATAAACAATAACTAAAGTATTTGAATATTTATACACTGACATTAAATTATTCATTATTATTAAATTTTTTGTGGTTGTATGCAACTAACAAGAACCGGTGAATTATAATGTCACCATTTTATCCCGCTCAATACGATCTTTATGCTTTGTTTAACTGAATTTGAAAATAAACTTTTCCAGTTTCCAAAGCGAAATCTAGCTTTATATCGCAACGAAATGGAAACTGCTGTAAAAATTCCAATTTATTTAGGTTGGTTCGAATAGTATCACACGAGCGTACATTGAGTATGCTTCTAATCCTGTAAGTAGTTTTAAGTCTACAATGTTGTTACTATTATCGCTATTATCTGTAATATCGATTCTCCTAGTCTTTCACAACTAGTGTTATAAAAAGTTCGCAAACATATACCAGTATCAATAGTCAGACCTGTATTTGAAGAACTTTGTCGATAATTGTCACAAATAACATATTATATTATAAAAAAATGATAAGATAAAAGTGAGAGCATAAAATGACAAAATAATTTCAACTACAAGCATTTTTGTAAAGATTTTGTTATATTTCTGAAAGGAAAATGACAGGAGTTCCAAACCTGAGTGATAGAAGAAAAGAATTAAAAGATAAACAAAAAATAAAATTATGCATTGAGCTCCATCTAAATCACTAAAGTAAAATAATGAAGTACAATGAGATCTTTTTGAAATGAACACCGGAGTAAAGCTATGTACAATCAAGCGAAATAAAAAGAGTAATAACGGTGCTCTGTCTCAAATCATAAAGAAATTATAGTGTGGTATGATAAAATGTTACGAGTAATTTCGTCAGTAGAACTCACTTACCCGGTACTGGGCAATGAAACACAATGTGTGAAGGCTGACGATACTACCCAACTGTCCAGTTTGAAGTAGCGTGAGATCGAAATCTGGCTAGAGTCGGATGCTCAAACCAATGGACCACAATGTGTTAAGATCATGTAGTAAGAATAAGAGGTAGAAGGAACGCAAGAACACAGCTATGTCCTAAAAATTAATCACAAACAAAGTGAGATACAATGATTATCAGCATATGAACAACTGGGTAGCCAGTGTCTGGGATAAAAGAAATAAAATCAAACAAAACACACCACTTCATCAATGTAAAATAAAATGACGGAAGTAATTTATATTCCGGTACATATCAGCGGCGCATTTCTGTAGGCATACAACGCATACTATATCCTACACTTGTGCCAGGGGCGTTATAAGCATTCGGCTGCGTACCTGAGTTTCCGGACTGATTAACAAACTGGGAATGAAAAGTTGACTGCTGAACCCCATCACGATTATGAGCGTGTGGTAAGACTTGTTGTGACTGCTGAACAGGTAAACTATGATGATTATGGTTTCCATACACTTGAGGTGCTGCTAGAGCACGCGGATTTGTTCCAACTGTGTTGTCCATTCCTTGGCACTCTGCGTTGTTCTGATGTTGATTATTGCCTTCTTCACATTCTGCGTTGGAATTCAACAGAGATTGATTAGTGTTAGAGGAATTGGTGCCTAGGAGTGCCCAATCATATACATAATCCAAGACGAAGTTTAGGCTTTGAAATAGACGGCGGAAAATTCCTCTTAGAAAGTGATAATCTGGAGTACTGTCAAAAGCCAATCCACGAGCGAAATGCAAATACTTTTCGAATTCGACTGGATAACCTTTACATAAAGCTTCAGGAGATGTAGCCAGTTTTTTCTCGTAAATACGTTCGTACTTTTGCTTTTTGGTATTCGCCTGTAAAAAATCAAAAAGTTTGCATGAGCGTTGAAAATCTAAAATGATCAAAGTAATTTCAGTGAACAAAAGATACCATCTAACTGCTTGCTTTTACACAACGAAATATTTAAAATTCTCCTCCATGAAACTGATAAGCGATGCGCTTTACTTGGAAGGCTGAGGATATGATCAACAATCCAGTTACAAATAATTATAATAACAATAGGTGTATCACTTTGAAAATAAAATGCAAATGTAATTTTGAGCACACCTGTCTTACCCGTTTGGTGAGTATTGTGATAAAATAACGGTATGGGAAAAGTGTAACAACCTCGCTAGGAATTTCGAGCTTGACGTTGATGAGTAGGAGCACAGACTCAGTGTTTAAAAGAATTAATGATCCGAAAGCCTGTCAGCTGAAGATATTCCACTCAAATGCGAAAAGACAGTTATTACTAAACAATAGAGGTGTCAATTAATCACCGAAAATAGCAAAGTAAGTGTCATTTAGGGTGTTTATCATCTACGCAAGTAAAATTCACAAGAACTGTCATGTCAAAAGTCTGAATTTGAATACGTGAAGTATACAACTGACGACGACATTGCCGGAAGCTGTAGAATAGCGTATACAAGATGTAATTAGATATTATTCATATTCGAAATCCACGAACCAGTAAACTCACAGCTTGTTATATCTATTCAGTACAAGTTATTCAGCTAGAGGAAAAGCTACAAAAGCGAATATCTATAATCTTTTACTAATTAAACATAGAAAAACATATTGAATAATAAATATTCACTGAGTTTATTGCAGAGCGAATATACGATTACTGACGCTCTGCTCTTATAACTACTTTTACTATTTCGAGGTTGCATTGCAACCTAGTATTAGCCGAAGAACTCCAATATGAATGTCACATTTTAAAACAATTAGCTTTGAGAATCAAATAGCATGTTTTTATTATAAAACCAGAAACAAGTTGATGGATAAAATAAGAAATAAATATCACAAGTGTTACCTTGAGACCTTGCCATGGAAGGTGTCCTCTGAGAAAATACATGAAAACATATCCGAGAGATTCAATGTCGTCTCTCCTAGACTGTTCTATGCCAGCATGAGCATTTATGCTGGCGTAGCGTGCTGTGCCTGTTAGGTTCTTGTCATCTCTGTAAGGTATGTGGCACTTTGACCTGTGATCTCTGCAAGAGATGTAATTTGTTTCACTATGCTTACCTAAATCTTTTCGCTAATCCGAAATCAACAATGAAGACTCGGTTGCAATGTGGACCGATTCCCATCAAGAAATTATCTGGTTTAATATCCCTGTGGATTAAACCTCTGTAGTGAACATGTTCGATACGCCATAGCATTTGTTCAGCTAGCGTTAAAACTGTTTTCATGGAGAAACGACGACCACAAAATGTGAACAAATCCTCGAGACTTGGACCGAGCAAATCCATAACCATAGCCTTGTACCGGTTACTTACTCCATCCGGCCCAAACCAGTAAACTCTAGGTATTCCCACTGACGTCTAAGAAAAATAACTAAAAGGAAAAAAACTGACTTGTAAAACGCGGTAGACTCGACTCTCATACAATAATTGAGGATGTCTAGCTGTTACGGGCTCTAGCTTAATTGCAACCTCATCACCCGTCAACATATTCTGTCCTAGATATATATCTCCAAAAGAGCCACCACCAATTTTCCGTACAAGTCTCCATTTGCCCCCAATCAACGCATTAGCGCTTAAAGAAACTTTTCTAGACTCCATAAAAGTTTAAACTACGCACTTGGAGACCAATGGTTAACGTTCATAAAGTTTAGCCAGTAAAACGCAGTTGACCTTGAGGCAATGTTCCAATAATGTATGAATATAAATTATCCTGTTATCGAAAGCATACACGACAAAACACTGCGGAATAAACCTTTAACATCAATTAAATTATCTTGAACAAGAAATTCGAATGAAGTACTTGAAAACCTTTAGTTTGATCGTAAATTGTATAATTGTATTCAGATAATGAGAGTTTTAGGGACTCAGACTAATTTCACTATTTACATTTCTTCACTAACCAACATTATTAAGAGAGTCCATTTGTCCTCGAACTATAATATGAAGTTGTGTCTGGTGGGGGCCACCATGCCAAGATGAAGTTGATGCTCACCAAAGGCACTGACGAAGTTGAAATTGTGTTACGAACTAATAAAGTTAGATTTCACAAGTTATTTTATTCCAGCTGAGATTGCTGAATGATTAAGAAACCAGTTCCCGTAACCAGAAGGTAATTTGTTCAGTCTTCGATTGGATCGTGGACGGACGCCAATGAAGAGTCCCGAAATAGGATGAGACAGCTATCAAGTGCAACCTGGTTTGAACTATTTTCAGGTGGTTCTTTATTTTTGTGGTTAACAGTTATCAACTTGTACACTAAACTTCATTTAAAGTTAGATGCACTTCTCATGGGGTATCAAAAGATTTTCCTAAAGAGCCCAGCAGAAGATATCAGAAGGAATTTGGAATGCCATTATTACAGCTACACTACCACCTAATAAAGCTATCCTTATTGATTAAGTACAAGTTTACTGGTTTCCAGCAGTTCCTACATTCCCTTTCTGTGAAAAATAAAGCAACTGCGGTTCAACTGAATAGAAGCTGTAATTCTTCTGACTAACAAGCGGTGTTAGCCCGACAGCATGGCAGGAAAATACAGTGTTTCTGAAGTGTTCACCTTTTCCTGACCCAGTTTTCAAATCTTTTACACCTTCCTTTTTTGTACATATTTTACCAGTGAACCCACAACCTTTCCTCAATCTTATATGCGTATTCGAGTATGATGTTTTCTTTCTTAATGTTTAGCACTGCTGTCATTTACCTTTGGAAGTTGCCCAAGTCTCTCTGTTAATCCTATCTGATGGTCCCCGATTCTGGAATTACGAAGCAGAAGTATGACGTGACCAGCCTAAGAAGTATGGATGTCATGTACCATGGTTCTACTCTACAGTCGATCACCGTACATGTATAGTGTGCAATTTTGGATATGAGTTTGACACCTGATGGTGCGTCACTTTAGCGTAGTTATATCCACAATTTAAACAAACACATGGAATGGGATTTTCCTTATTGTGAGAAACTCTTTGTGAAGAACCCACCATTCATCGGGATATATGAGATTAATGGATAACAGTTTGTTTGCTATGTCCGCCATTTATCGTCTTCCTGTCAGAGCCATTAACGAAACGCATAATAGAGTTGGACCAACAAGTGGAATATGTTGATAGGTGTATATGTCTGAAAGTAGAACTTCTGTGGTTAACGAGAGTGAAGTGCGACTTATTTCTACTCTTCAAAGTCATTAGGAAACATTGTTATAGTAACTCATCCATAACGTGGGAAAATATTAAATCATATCAGCTGTGAAACCACAACTACCTTGTCAAGGTGGCTACCCACAGAAAATCCATTAGGGCAAACTTTTTCACCAATAAATATTGTACTCTTTGGAATCAATTACCATCTGAAATTAGATGTTGTGAAAACCCCGATGGGTTCAAACGGAGCCTAAAAAGACACGTTAACATGTCCGCCCTAGGTCGTCTAAAAGACTACAACTGTCGGTAGAACGGAAATTGGAAGCCAGTCCAGTCTTCAGTATAGTCACATACGTATATCTCAACTCTACTACTAACGCAGCGAACGTTTAACTAATTTAATGATTTTTTATTCTCTATAATCTTCGCTAAGTTGTGTTGGTATGAGTAACTCTAGAAATGAATGTATTAGCAACCACACCTTTTAATGTTTTACATATATATAGTTTTCTGTGGGTAGCCACCTTGACAAGGTAGTTGTGGTTTCACAGCTGATATGATTTAATATTTTCCCACGTTATGGATGAGTTACTATAACAATGTTTCCTAATGACTTTGAAGAGTAGAAATAAGTCGCACTTCACTCTCGTTAACCACAGAAGTTCTACTTTCAGACATATACACCTATCAACGTATTCCACTTGTTGGTCCAACTCTATTATGCGTTTCGTGAGGAATCTCTGAACACTTTCGATTCTTTTCGGTCTGCAGACCTCAGGTTACCATACAGGAGAGTACAATATTCAAGTTCTATATATATAGCTAATCTTGCTTCTTGGGTGTAGAAGTTAAGCAGTACAAAGCCAATAAGTCGTTTACAGTCAGATACAACCTTATTCGCATGATCGGAAAAGGCTAGATCTGAGCATGCTATGCCGAGGTCTGTGACTGTGTTCAGTTTTGAGAGGAGCTTACTGTACATATATAGGCACATTCTCAGTTACCAGCGTCCAAGGTGGGCTATACCGCACTCGTTTGGGTTGAAAGTCAGTTGCCACTTTTCGCTCCAATCGTCTAGATTATTTAAGTCATTCTGGGTCTCACTTTCGACGCTCATATCATCGTACCCGTAAGCATATACTATCTTGAGATCATCTGCAAAGAGGTATGGCAAGCCATACCTCTTTGCAGAGACTGTAGTTTATAAGTAAGAGGAATAGAATAGGGCCAAGAACGCTACCGTGTATTACACCGCTAATTATCGGCTTTGATGAAGACAGCTTATGGTTTATTTTGACTAATTGCTCTCTTTCTGTGAGAGAAGAATTTATCCATTTGAGAAGTTTTCCAGTTATTCCGTAGGACTGGAGTTTTATTATAAGTCTGATGTATGGGAATTTATCGAAGGCCTTGCTAACGTCTAGAAATAATGTTGTTACTGAACGCCCATTATCAATGCATTGTGTAATATAGTCGAAATAATCTAAGTGGAAAGTAATGCACGACCTTCTACTTAAGAAACAGTATTGGGATGGGGATAGTAGGTCATTTGACAGCAAGTACCGAATGATTTGAGTCTTTACTATCTTTTTCCATTACACGTGAAACTAAAGACGTGATGTTGATGGGGCAGTCGTTGTTGATAGCAGCTATAGGCCCGTATTTATGGATAGGTACAATATAAGACAGCAGGCAGGGTATATCCCATCGCTTAGTGAAATCGAGTATAACTTGAGTAGGAGTAAATACATGTAATTACCACCGTTTTTCGGCAGAATGGAAGGCAAACCGTCTGGACCAGTAGCGTTGCTAACCTTAGAATTGCGACATTTTTATCAATCTCGTGTATGGTGAAAAGCATATCGCTTAAACATTCGTCTATTTATGTGGGAAATCCACAACCTCATCGTTCTCTAAGGTGTAAAATCTGGTAAAGTGCTTGCCAAACAGTTCACATATCACCTCGGTATTCTCGTAAGCAATGCCGTCTAAGTATATTACTTTCGCGTAAGCTGTTTTGGAGTTCATCAACCTACTTTTGAAAAGTTTGTCTATTTCTCCTGATTTATGCGGTGTCTGAATGGCCCACATTTCTTTGTTTCTGAGGCCTATGTTTCTCAGCTCTTCAATTCTATTGAGAAGGGACGTAGTAGCAATTAATGATGAGAAACCATGATATCTGTAGTATTTTATTGAGTGCTTTCGTAGACTTCTCCTAAAGATTTCGGAATATAATCACTTTGGGGGAATCTGAAGCTAAGAATCTTCTCAGGTGCAATGACGTCGTGAACTGAGTTAATATTCTGATAAAAGATGTTAAGAATTGCCTCTAAGGACTCGTTTGAAAAGTACGAGTCCCAATTAGAACACCGAATTAGGTGCTGATACAAGTCCCAGTCAGCATGTATGTACTATCTCATAGTTGTCTGGCCAACTTCATCTCCACGTGTTGTTTCAGGAAAGATGTCAAAAGAACACACTACTATTTTATGGTCACTTCCTGGAAATTCCTGTCCCACATGTACTGTAGATGCTGTTATGTTGTTCGTGAAAATAAGGTATAGGATATTTGCGGATCTAGTGGGTGAATTTATGTGTTGTGTCCACCCTCCTGTGACGATGGAATTCAGGAGATTATCATACCTTTGGGGTCCTCGGAGTGAAGACCATGATACTTCTGGCATTTGAGATGTAGATTCTTCTAATAATTTGTTGAATTTGATTGATATTTTACTTTGAATTGCTGATTCAATGCTATATTATGTGCAATTTACGATTCTGTGGATTTCTTCTTTCAGGCATAATTTTGTAGGCCTTTATTCTGCTTCTAACTCTGTCCGTTGGAACTGGAGCTCGTAAACGTAAATATTTAGGAATGATTTCATTTTTAGGCGTCGAATGTTGAAAATACGATGATTTTCATATCTTGCTTCAGTTTGTGAAAGTCGAGTGAGTTTATTGATAAGTCTTCGTACAGGAAGACCATAAGTCATATTAATATATGTGTAAAACTTGGGCACTGTGGTAGTAAGTAATTCCATATTAGTTTGCTTATTAGGTATATCACACAGTGAAACAGTATTATTTACTGGATGACGTTTCGAACAAAATTTATTGTTCATAATCATATCACACAATTGATATGATTATGAACAATAAATTTTGTTCGAAACGTCATCCAGTAAATAATACTGTTTCACTGTGTGATATACTAATAACAAACTAATATGAATGTTGAAATCACCTCCGACAATTTTATAGCTGAAGGGAAGATTGGCTGTAACATCAAAAATTTTGCTGAGCATATTATCATATTCCATGCTGGATGAAAGGGGTAGGTACACACAACCCACAAGTATAGGTTCACTTCTGACAACTTTTATTTCGGCATCGGAGACAATAACTTAATTATTCGAATTACAAGGCATGTACCGTTTATGCGTCCATGGGAATTTAAGCCATAAATAGATAAACGATATCTGATTGATTGTATGGCCCTGAACATCCTCA